TTCGTTTTCAACTTCGATTTTGAGTAAGCTGATTTGTTCAACGGCGTCATAATGACGGCGGCTGATTTCTGCGATTCTGTCCGCCGCTTGAAACACAAACATGGGAAAGTTAATCGACATACAAAGTTATAAAGTATAAAATTTTCCAATTACGTACCAATATCGTCGACTGAGCAGCCAACGCTATCAAAACCACGTCCGGTTCCACGCAGAACGTAGCCCTATCTGTCGACAAGGAGATTAATGAGGCCACACTTAGAGCCACGGCTGGGTCCTTCAAAGCTGACACGTCGGCAGAAATTAGCGTGTTCTTGATCCTAGGATGGATAATAAACGGCGCCACCAAGTCCTGGGACTCTTCTATGCGAGGCCGTTTATCGATTAAATCTCCAGAAGAGTTGACCTCGATCTCAGTGGGGTGTTTCTCCCCCATTTGTTCAGTAATATGGTCGTCTGATTGATCCATGATCGAGTCGGCAAGATGTTGTATAATGACTGAATCGGCCACAACAGGAGCAGGTGGTGGGGGTTCAGATCTCGCAATTTCGGCCCTCCTTCGAGCTGCTATCTTCTCGGCGTTCTTCTTTCTTGCCATATGTGCGAGCGATTCACCAGCCATATTTTTAGGATATGTACTGGGTAGATCCCCTAGATTGGTGAAAATGTCGTCTTCTAGAGATGAATCAATCCGGCCGGAGGTGGACGGGAGGTCGACGCCGACTTCTTCAAAAGCCAAATTAAGAGCTGCGTCGACTTCCTTTTCCAAATGACCCTCAGATCCGTCCGAGTTGGACTGAGTTGGTTGTATGTCGACTTGATCGTCGACTTCACCGCTTTGTTTCGAATCTGAACCCTCAAGGCTAATTACCCTAAGGCTCTTATAGTTTGGGAAGATAAGAGCCATAAAATGTTCTTCCTCTCTTGGAACCAAGATATGATCTGCAACCGAGAAAGTTGAATATGTTGGATCATATTGCAGCAACACGTGGGCGGCCCGCCCTTGCTTCTGAAGATTCGGACAGCCAAAGAATTTGAGCACCTTTTGACTTACTCAAGCACGGTATTTTCAGCTGAAGTGAGTGTCTTCTTCATATCGTCTCCTGCATAGATGAAATGATAAGTACACAAAATAGAAGCCGAATAAGCATATAAAAAATGCACGAAGAAATGGGACTATACGGCCACCTGGTTCGCCTTTTTGTCTAGGCACGGGATCCAGGCGATCTTTGCCTTCGCCGAATTCCCAGTTGCCTCGGACAACGACCATGACATCATCGACACGCTTACCAGATCTGGCAAGCATAGTCACTAAATGGTGATCAATGTCCTTGGTCCTGAGAAAGTAGTGTCCTTGCCGACCAGAGGACTTCGCCAAGGCATAACAATGCTGAATAGCAGGAATGGCCTAGATTAATCCTAAGATGACGATTTAAACCCATTATGATTTGCTAAAAATTTACATTTGACAGAGAAGGGATTAGACCCCAATAATGAAGAACGACCTTCAAAAGCCGATGAAGAGGGAAACGGACTCCGCCCTCAGTGATTGATAGAAGAGGAAAAATGATCGTACTTGTATCAGCCCTCTCCATATCAACTACGATGTCTGTTACGAGTGACAGATAGACGTCATCCGAAATCGAGAAATGGAGTCGAAATGCGGAGATACGGTCCACAGACGGGAGGTTTTCTAGGTGTTTCGCCATTTAAACCGGAATAGAAAACACGCTAACTAAAAAAAAAAGGACAAGAAAAATGGGAGCTGGAAAGAGGATGAAATACAAGGAAGAGAGGAACTTACAGTTTAGAGAGAGGAACACAATGGGTAGCAAGCAGAAGTCGCAGAGGTCTTGGAAGAGAGATACTGTGAATGAGCCAAAAACTTTGCGCATTCAAAAAACATTCGAAAAGACAGCGCAGTTATGTATCGCATTAAATGAGCAACGTGTACGAAGAGACGGGAAGTTGTAATCATTTCTAAAATCGTGTTCATTCTGACACTTCGGTGTTGGAAGTAGTGCGAGTGCCATATATTTTGACTCTTTACACGTAAAACTGAACATGCCGACTAAATGGTATTAGACGGATATTCAGGGGGAAATTGTGGGAGCCAAATAATTTCAATTAGGAAGAGGCCGACTTTGATCGACATTCGGCTAATGTAATTCGGCCTTAACCAAGGACAAAGCCGTGTAAAGAGTTGAGTAGGGCTCAACATTCAGGCCGAATAAGTAACCACGTGGGAGATCGAAAGTGGGCCTAACCCACAGACCCAGAGGTAATATAAAAAGGAAGGAATGCCAACTAAAGCAAGTATGTGAGAATAGACAAAATAACTTGAGACAGAAGTAAACTTGAGCGGATATTAACTTGTCCGTCGGAGTGCTAATTCCGGCAACCTTGACCGGAGTGTTCATCCCTTTTTCAGGTAGCAATCAAAGGATTAAAGACGTCTAGTTGGATCCTGAAGTATTTCCAAACCACTTCTCCACACTTCCTAAATAGAATAAGCCAATCTTCATACATAGTTCACCCATACGTCGTCACTATCAACTAGCACCATCTTTTGTTCATCATCCCAACCAAAAGCACTTATCTTTAACACATCTTGAAGAGTGTTATATTGCTTCCTCCACAACTTAATCTTTGAGTCGATGTGAGGAGTAGCTCGAAGATCAGTTCCAGGAAATGCACTTAAGATCTTCTTCTCACATTCATTGTAGAAGCCTACCCTAAACTAATTATTATCAAGCTTCCACCTAGGATTACTTGCGGTTACATCCTTCATGGTTGTAATTAGGAAGAATTCCTTACGGTTATTCCAAAACCTTCGAGGTTTCCCCTTCTTACGAGAACTAGTGGTACCTTTGTCATCCATACCTATATATATATGTATATCATATGTTTAAATCATAACACACGTGTCAATCATAAATAACAAATCAACTTATATAATATTTGTTACAAATACTACACAAAAACTAAACAAATATGGTTTGAATTACATGTCATAATAAACTCTCACTATTTCATACAACACTAATTTATTGACCTTTACTTGCTTGCCATTCATTAAACATTTGGGTTGCTAAGGCCGTTCTCCATTCACTTCATTGATCAGATGCTTCAACAATATTAATCATTTCATCTCCTAATTCAGTAGTTGGAGGAGAAGGATTCATTTCCTCATTCTCATCATCATCGAGATCCATAGGCATTTCATGTTGTATGAGATTGTGGAGACTATGCAGTGATAATACGAAATTGAGTCTTGAGTGGAAAGTAAAAATAAGTCCTCGACATTGCCCACCTCATTTTAAGTAGCCCAAAACACCTCTCAATGACGTTGTGAGCAGAAGAGTGCCTCATGTTAAAAAAACTCTTGTGGAGTTGTTGGGGCACACCCTTCTCTCTATGTAGAAAGATGGTAACGCTGTCCTTTATATGGTGTAAGAAAACCCTCCTCATTTGTGTAACCCGTATGTACGAGATAGTAGTGGCCTGTAATTATGTAAGATGGTTTGACTATGTATGTAAGAAAATAATTGTTTAATATAGATATAGTGTACTTATATATATAACAATATATAATTATCATACTAGTAAGCACTTTCAACCCATTGGGTCTACTGATAGTATCTCTAAGTACCCTAGAGTCAAAAGTAGATCCTTCTCATCCAGGCAAGACATATATGAATTGCATGTCTTAGAAGCACACACCCAATACATTTGTCGCAATTTCTTCCATTCTCGTTCTATACCTTGGTTTGTCTATTGCAGGGGCAAGAACCTTAACATAGGTTCCATCTAAAGCACCAAGACAATTCTGAAAATAAAACAATATTATTAAATTAATATAGGCAATACAAAAATATAATATGATAATTAAGCCAAGTTGTAAATATATTGTACCTGAATACAACTCCACATATCATCTGTACAATTAGCAATTATTGGTTCAGGCTTCTTAAGAAGGAGACCATGGAGGCGCAACATAGCCTTGAGAACATTATTGAAATGCTTACTAACTGTTTGACCACTCCGCATGAAATTAAATTTAATTTTGCGGTTCTTAATATGATGTGCAAGCACATTCAAAAACATTGCTACTTAGTCTCTAAGACAACATACTTTGAATTAAATAATTCAACGCTTCGCACCAACCCACATAAAAGCATAAAAGTATGCCTATTCATCCGAAGTTGGTCATGACAATTTATGTCACTATCGTTGACCAATCTATTCAAATGGTCAATTTGTTTTCCGTAGGGGTGAGGTGATCTAAGTAGTTGCAACCTAATTTCTTTCTTCTTGAATGCAACATGTAAAATCACTATATACATAGCACATGCATAATTAATGGATGAAACAACATGTTGGAAGGCTACAAATTCCTGTATGAGGTCCTTTCACCCTTTCTTAGTGGCATAATTATAAACCATCTACAAAAAATGAATAAATAATAAGCGGCTAAAGTCAGCACAAAAAGTAAAACAAATAATAGATAACAAAAAGTGTTTAATATGATAAAACAGAGTGTAACGACCAAAAAACCATAGCATGGTGAGTTTGAAGTACAGTCAAATAGCAAATTCAAGAAAGATAAAATTTAATCACCTTCATTTGTACACAATTTCTACAGCCTTTCTTAGTTCACATGAACATAACTTAAAAAAAACATCATGGTACTACACACATATTCTATGACTTGACAAGCCACCAAGATTAAAATAAAAAGACAAGCAAAAAAGAAGAGTAATAACAAAAAAATTCAACCTACTTAAGACTAACATTTGAAACTAATAGGATGAAGGAGTCTCTTACTCAACACTTGACTGGTTATGTTACGACCCAAACCCTCCCCTATAGATTTAGCGTCGTAACTGGCTAGTAATCCTAGATTACCTTCGGCCTCAAAGACAAAATTTCAAAATATTTAAATCATATCAGGGCCCAAAGCAAAAGCAAAACAAAATAACAATGTCCATTGAGCTTGTGCATACATGATAACTAAAATAATTAAAAAATTAAAACACAATAATAATTTATATACATATACAAATCTTATATATCTCATACACATATACATTGAAGACTCAACAAAATACAAAGCTTTGGCAAAGCTAAGGGCTGATTTTCATGGCTCTACTCGAGCCTAACTTGCTCCATTCTGAAAGCTCTTCAAAAGGCTGACACGGGTAGACTCTGAAACTTTCTCTATCCTTGTTGCTCAATTTGCTCACCTACATATACATATAAATAGTGAGCTAAAGCCCAATGAGTAATAACAGAATAAAAAGGTTAAATGAATGAAGTTCGACGATAATACGAAAACCTGCCTTACGATTTTGAAACGAATCTTAACTCATTTTCAAAGTAAGGCATTTGTCATATTATATCAAAATTCATAACAAAACATTTTCCATATCAAATCATATATTTCAATTTCCGAATCAATCCATTTCAATAGGCAAAACAGTTTGATTAGCCATCATATCAATCCATTATAATGACAAAAACCATTGTTCGATAGCATTTTCAATGCAACTCAGATTTCAATTCAATTCTCAATGATCCATGTTATCTCAATAGCAATACTCATTCAATGACAATTTACGTGGTACATCCAATAGTGTAACAATGTATCAATAACAATGGGACCTCAAGGGTCAATCAATGGGACGGCAATAGGTCAATCATGGGACCACAATTGGTCAATCAATATATCATATCCAATGTGACCATTAAGGTCTAACAGCAGAGATCTCTGTGTTTCAATTATCCAATGGGCCACGGTATAGTTTTCCTCGGGCGAGGGCCAATGGGCCATGGCATTAATTTGCCCCAAGCAAGGGTCAGTGGGCCATTGTATTAATCTCCCCCAGGCAAGGGTCAATGGGCCATGGTATTAATCTCCTCCAAGCAAGGCTCTCACTAAAGGATGCCATGATTACAAATTCAAATGGAACTTCATTCATTAAGGTTAAGTATTACTTCAATAAATTATTCAATCATTCATATATCGATTTCGAGGACAATAACAGTTTCGAAAATAAATATAATTTGAACATATCTTTATAAAGTTACTACTCACAGTGGGTTAAGTCGATATAAGGCCTCGGACGTTCACCTATACAAATCACATAACAAAGATACAATAGAAGCACCATTTAATATTCATTTCATTTTAATTCAACTCTCTTTATGTGTTTTTACCTTATTTCATGACTATATGAGTCCAATTGGTGCCTAAGAATACTTAGAATGTCATGAGCATGCAAATAGGGGCTTAGAAAAGTTAATCCAAAATTATTGAAAATAGGGTCTTCGCTTGAGCGCACCTTTGGTCGCTTGAGCGGTCTGCAAAGCTCTGTAAAAATACTGTATGGCCTCACTGTTCGCTCGAGTGGTGACTTTACCGCTCGAGCGGTCAGCAAATTTTCTGTGCTTTCGAAACCAACAAAATAATTTCTAAACACATTCTCAAAACTTAGACTCTAGCATGAACCAATTTAAACATGTAATTTTATTAATAAAGATGAACCCTTGACTAATTTTTCAATTTCTAATACAAAAATCTCTTTGATCATAATAATTTCGTGAATATAATAATTTCAACATTTTTCTTCTTTTGTGTTATAAAACATCAAATTAGAGCAATAAAACTCTTTAAAAGAAATATTTGCATATGTGAAACTTAAATCAAAATCAAACTAATTTTTGATTCTCAAGTATAAATTGTAATTTATTCCCAAATCTTTCCAAATTTAGATTTAATTCATTTTCTTTATATCAAACCCACAAATTTTAAAATATGAATTAAACTTTCAAAACTCTTGAAAATTTCATGATGTATGTAAAAATGGAATCCAAATCATCATTAATAACGAAAATCAAACTTAAATAATGAATTACAAAATCATTTTTTTTCAACTTAACTCAATTTTTAACCAAAAACTTAATTTATGATCATAGATGTTCCAAAATGTGTTTAAATAGAATAAAACTTTTCAATTAAATTATATGCATGGATTAAAAATCAAAATCAAACAAATTCCAAATTTCCATAAACTTGATTTTTCTAAAGATTTTCCTTTTTCTCTTCAAAATATGAAATTGAATAAATTCAAAATTTTCAAAATCCATATTGCATGATGTGTGTGTAATTAGAGTATTAATTTGTTCATGCATGTAATAATGAAGCTCGTTTTCATGCAAGATCACAACATCAAACCCAAATTAATTAATTTCGATAACCATGGACCTAACTTGATCCCTTCGTCTTTGTTTTCTAATTTCTTTCAATTTATATGTGATTGAACCCAATCTCATCTTTAATTTCAAGTGTAACACAAGGATTCTACAAAATCAAGCGCAAATTTCATACCTTATACTTAATTTCAACATTTTTGGTTGATTTTCCTCTGCTTCTCTTTTCTTTTCTTCATTTCTTTCTTTAATCCATAGCTTTTGCCTTGAGCTCTTCTTCATTTCCAGCAATGTGCTGACTTGAACTCTTCTCTCTCTCTCTCTCTCTCTCTCTCTCTCGCTCTCGGTTTCTCCTTCTTTCCTTCGACTCCTTCCAGCACACTTACATCCTCTTCATTTTAATTTCCTTCATTCTTCTTTTCTTTTCTTTTTATTTTATTTTACTTAGTGGGACACTTGTTCTTGTTATATGAACCCAAATGAGTCTCACTTAGACTCTTCAACACATACACACACATATCTGATTTCTCTGCACACCCACCTGATTTCTCTGCACACCCACTGTTGACTTTAACACAAAAATGCTACACACACATAAGCAAGGCTTCAGCTCCTCTTTATTTTATCAATTGATCAATATAAAATACGTTGGCACACAACTTCGCAATTTATCATGTGCGTAGGATTAATTTAACTCTCAATTACATAATTAGTTTAATTAAACACCACTTAATTTTAATAAATCTCGATTAGTGCATAATTTAATTAATCGTAACTAATCACAAGTTCCACATAATTTAATTAATCTAATTTGACCTTCATTAAGGCCCAATCAATCATAATTAAATTTATCAATCTGAATCAGATTTTTTATCAAATCCTCAAAAGGCTCCAAATATTAAGGCTAGGTTTGGCATAACTTATATAATCCATCTTTTTATCTTTTTATCTTGTTTTCATCACATCACCTCTCTACTTTTCTGCACATCTTTTCGTAAAAAGACAAAAAGTGCACTTTTTTAGGACACTCCAAACCAACCCTAAATTAGACTCATTTCCATCATCAATTTTGATTTCTTACACCAGTAAGGCCTTCAATTTTAGATCAAACTCAAAATCTCCGTCAATAAATTACATATTGAATTGAACAACTCATAAATAAATTTAATTCATAATAATCTTAATTCCCAATCTTCATAACTTAATCAACTCCAATTCGAACCCAATTAATAAAACATCAATTTTACTAAATTGAATCGTATATTTAATTAAACTCTCATATGGTCCGATACTTGAAATTAAAATAATTAAATTCGTCAATCTCACCTTCTTGAACTACTTAAGATTTTAATTTCTAATTCCAAAATAGCTCTTTTATAAAAATTACATACGAATCAACACCAATATTGTTCATCAATTCCGTAATTAAATTAAAATAATAATTAATTAAAATTCAAGTTACTTTAATTAATTAAATATAAAATATTATATGTGGCAGGGACGTCACAGGTTATTTTGTCAATATTTGATTATTATCTAGTTGCAACAAATCACTATAATGAAAGGAGTATTCTCTCTAAGAAAAAATCTCTGGAGATGATTTTTGTTTTCACTTTTTATTATTAGTTTTCAATTTGTAAAAATCTACACCAAATAGCACATACAAGCTTTTTAATTTGAGGGAGTCGCAGTGGTGAGGCAATTTTTTCTCACTTGCAGGGTTTTGGAACGGCTTGGGCATTACATTCCCGACTCCAACCTAATTATATTGGAATGCATTAAAGATATTTAATGTTTTATTTGTAAATTTTAAATATATATATATATGTTATAAGTCACATTTTTATTTTTATATTTTAATACTTGGATTGTTGTATTGTATGTTACACTTGATAATAGTTTGTAATTTTAAGATTTGATTTATAATATATTACTTTATTGAGATATATTTCAATTTGGATATAAATTTTTTGGATACCTCACCCCACAAGGCAAGCTGAGTTGGGGCTGGGATGTGGGTACGGGCACGGCCGGGCCATTGCCATTTTTACCTTTAATTAATAGGTATTTGTCAAAAAAAATCCATTATTTTATTTGATTATTATTTATATAAAAAAAAATGGGAAAATTAGTCTGAGGTCCCTCTTCCATATTTGATAATGTAACAGATCCACAATCTTATTTTATTATGTTTAAGGTCCTCCACACCCCCTCCCACCACTATCTCTCTCTCCCCGATCTCATCACTTCACCTCCGTCGTAGTTATCGCCTCCTCCACTGTTGCTGCCAGCACCTCTCCTTCAGATCAACTTCGCAGATTGCCTCTCCCTTCAGATCAGTGTCTTTCCTCCACCATCATCACCATTTCTCTGCAATTCACAGACCACACGAGACATTCATTGATGACGAAAGAAGGAAGCTTTTGCCCAGATTTCAACTTTCAGAGCTTTCAAGGTTTTTAAAGTAAGAGCTTCTCAGATTCACACTCTCAATTTGTCTCTTTCTCAGGTATTGTTTATGTTTGGCTTGCTTGGATGAATCAGCTGTCATTTCCTACACCAAATAACACACCATGAAGACATATTTTCTCTGAGGAAAACAAATTTTTCACTCAATACTAAAAACAAAAAAAATATATATATATATATATATATCAGCTCAAGTTTTACTTGCTCCAATAGCAGAGGAGTGTCTAAGGACTCTTCACCAATCTGTTGTGATCCGAATTCTCTCTGCCGAGCTATAGCACTATTTTGGGCTGAGTAGAAAAATTCACCAGCCTGAAGAAAACAATAGAATCTCATTTTATATGAAGGGACAATCAAAAGGATATTCCACAACCAAAACATGCATAGAATCAGTATCAATAAATGTGGGAATAGGGTGAACATGGACAAAATCAACAATCAAAACTACCACAAGGTTAAGATCTTTAAAATCCGTCAAAACACATCACAAGGGATGCGCTTGGTTCCTTAATTCCCAAGAACTTATTACTACATTAGTAAGCCAAAAAATGGCTTCATTAATGCTTGCACTGTCAATGTCACAAGCAGGAAAATTAGATGATGGTACCGCCACCAAAGTACAAATGATATATATATATATATATATGTAATGTATATATATATGTAATGTAATGTAATGTAATGTATATATATGTAATGTATATATATGTAATGTAATGTAATGTATATGTAATGTATGTAATGTATATATATGTAATGTATATATATATGTAATGTAATGTATATATATGTAATGTAATGTAGATATGTAATATAATAGGCTTCATTGCATTTTCCTTCCTCTGTATTTATTTTCTTGATGTATACAAAGTTGCCTATGATGTTAAAGCAGAGAAATTTGCCTCCATCTCTGGCATCTCAATCACAGAAATTGGAATTTCTCTGGATTGGAGAGGAAGAATTTCTCTGGTTTGGGTTGGAGAGGGAGAATTTCTCTGGGTTAAGTGAATTTCTCTGGATTGGAGATGAGAATTTCTCTGGTTTTCAGTAAATTTCTCTAAGTTAGAGAGGGAAGTTTCTCTGGGTTGAAGTGAATTTCTCTAGAAGTCCAGAGAAATGTGAGATTTTCTCTGTGCAATCCAGAATTTCTCTGAATAGAATTTCTCTGGGAAAAATTTCTCTGGGCTGAAATTTCTCTGGACTGGAATTTCTCTGGGCTGAAATTTCTCTGGACTGGAATTTCTCTGGGCTGAAATTTCTCTGGACTGGAATTTCTCTGGGCTGAAAAAAAAACCCCCTTAATAAAATATCAATTTTACTAAATTGAATCGGATATTTAATTAAACTCTCATATGGTCCGATACTTGAAATTAAAATAATTAAATTCATCAATTTCACCTTCTTGAACCACTTAAGATTTTAATTTCTAATTCCAAAATAGCTCTTTTATAAAAATTACATACGAATCAATACCAATATTGTTCATCAATTCTGTAATTAAATTAAAATAATAATTAATTAAAATCCAAATTACTTTAATTAATTAAATATAAAATATTATATGTGACAAGATCATCACAGGTTATTTTGTCAGTATTTGATTATTATCAAGCAATTGCAACAAATCACTATAATGATAGGAGTATTCTCCCTGATCAGAAATCTATGATATGGACATAGTGGAAGGTCTAACCATATCAATTTCAATCCCCTAAACAGAGTCCAAAAAAGGTACATGCTTAAGTTTTACTAAACTTTTGCAAACTTTTATGGGTTCACCCAGAGACCCCCACTTGAAATTCACATAATAATTTTAAAAAATAAAATAAAATTGTAGTCTGAGTACAACTAAGTAATTGCAAACACATTGACAAACAAGAAACCAAAAAGAAAAAAGTTATGAAAAAGGGAAAGAAAAATGAGAAGAGAAAATAAACAAGAAAGGAAGAAACAAAGAACAAACTTACATAGGAATAGTAAAAGGGGGGTTTAATAGAATTGGGTTGTTTTAAGCTATTCAGTAGGTCAGTGTTGTGGAATAGGTAAGAGTCAATATCTTTGAAACCTTTGTTGGGACCTCGTATTGCTAAATATGCTTATGACTCTTTCTTACTCAAGCAGCTGCCCTAACAACTACCCAAATCATTGATTGATTGAATTTTCTATCTAAATATCTATGAACATGAAAAATCCTACTTCAAACATAAGTTGCTGATAATAACTATACCTTCTAGTTGTTGAAAATTCTTTAACTTCAGTTGCATCAAGAAGTTATTCTTATTCTTGGTTTTAAATCTGAAGAAAATTACAACAGTAGACAGGAAAGAATTTGACAAGGAGGTGAATTGAGCTAGATTTTTCATAACATCTATTGAGGGGCATTATGCAACAACAAAAGCAACTGTAGGGCTGCCCTTGTAACATATGTTATAAATAATGCATTACAAAGAGGGGAAAAGAAAACAAAAGAAAACAAAACACAAATGATCTCTCTTCCATTCCATAATAACAAAAATGGTCAAAACAGAGCATCATTTCTACTTTATCTTTTTCATATTTTTTTTTTGTTTTCACAATATATCCCACCCATAGAAGAAGAATAAGAAGAAGAAGAAGAAGATAATGATGAAGAACAAATATGAACAAAGAAGAGTTGGCGTGGGATATGTTATCAATAAAATCTTGTAATCAAAAATAAAAATTTGAATAAATTGATAACTTGATTCAAGAAAATGTTTCATCTTGCTTTAAACCCAAAAAAAGATGGATCAAATCACAGATGATAAACCCAAAAGTAATGGAAAAAAAAAAAACCCATTTACAAATCATAAACCATAGAAAAACAAGAGAAATTTTGGGGTAGAAAAACTCACAGATCAAAACCCATTCACAAATACAAAAAACATTCCAAATAAATTGATAGCTTACTTAACAAAAAAAAAATTACCGATACAGCAGA